CAGCAATCGCATCAGGTACTAGTTGAGTGACAGGTCCGGCAGTGGGAAGTCCTCCAGCCAACTAACCTCTTTTTCTGAAGCCAGACTCGAGGATTTATCCTTCTTTAGACCTAGCGGACCTCAACGCAGATAACCTACCTGCACGATGGAGGCATGCGCACGCCGCGCGGAGGCCACTTTTGCCATCGTAAAGGCAGTGCAAGCTACTGCTTAATTCTTGTTGGTACTCGGGATGGTACCACGAGCCCGAAGGCTAAGGTAGGGTCCTGCGACCAAGGTTGCGCCTTTGCACCGGGTTCGTTCTTGGGTACGTGCAGCTAAAGTGCGTGCGGTGCTCTTTGGCCAGCCAAGGTCCAACTCTCAGGTTGGCACATGGGTGCAGCTGTGTCATCCCTGAAGCTAACGGGGTCCCAGGTGGGAGCCAACGCTGAACAAGCTTCCCTGTCCCTTGGGGCGAGCTGCGACATGGAAGTATCTTTCGCGTACCCAGCCGAGACATCTCCCACCAGGCGCAAGGTAGGTTGGTTCTAAACTGGCGCCGATTCGATAACCACCTTACTCTTCGTACTGAAGGCTTCCTTTGCAGAACCCAGCAGTAGGCACTGCAGCTGGCCAGTGTCGTGCGGCGTCCAGCTATCCAGCTAGCCCGCTCGCCACCCATCATCCATCATCAGGTCCTCGAGACTCTAGCGCCCTGGAAGTCGAATGAGAGGAAAAAGGAAGTACGGGCGGTGGCTTTTCATGGTCACGTATGAAGCGATTTACTTTCGGGCTCCCTGTGGCTAGGAGATCTAGGAGGCCTCAGGGTGCTTTTTAATTAAAGCGATATCAAAATTGAGAAAACACAGGTCGGTGCAGATCTCTCGGTCCGCATGCCTAGGCTGCTCAACCTTGCCCTCTCTTTCCCTCCCTCGCCTCATCAATCTCAATCTCTCGGCAAGGGCTGCGAATGCCTGGCATGCAGCTTGCTGGCACTGCAGCGACGGTGAGACTGGTTGGCTGATGAGACGAGATACGGGAGCAGGGAAAAGATGGTGCAACCTGAGTTCTGATTTGAAATCTGTTCTATCTTGGCTGCTGCACCAATCGGATCAGCGAGCCTGCTCATCTCGACAGAGTTGGCACACCCGGCTGAACTCAAATTCAGAACGCTTGGGGCTAGCCTGGACCGTCTGATCATAGAGGAATGCTAACAAGTGCAAAGTGATCCTGTGATCTGGTCTGAAGGGCGGGTGTGATCGGTACCTGCTGGATACTTGCGCGCGCACCAGCGAGATTGGAAAGGTACGTACATCTCGATATGACCCATGCAGCTTTCCCTACCCGGTACCTCCCTTGTGCGCCAATGCCATTACGCCATTGGCCTCGATTGGGAGTGTGGGTGGGGAAAAGGTACTTGTGCACTGAGCAGACATTTATTTTTTGATGATGCTTCCTCGCGACAAGGGTGGTGATGGCTCGTGGCCTCGTGGTGCATCACCAGCCTGTGTCGAGGTGCTACAATTCTAAATGGAAACTTTAAAAGGAAGGGAATACACGCTCGTATCACTCGCGGGAATGGCCATCAAGGTTTTGATTAGACAACACGAAGAAGCCAACAGTAGCAGAACTCTTGCGACCAGCTATAATTACGATGGTGGTTGTCAATTGCCCCTACCTAAACGAGAGGCTATTGTTCATTTCCTGAGAATCCTCTTGAATAAGATTCGGTCAACAGAGCAATCTTGCTCGACCGCCACCTCATGCACGCCCGAAACTTTTACTATCCCTCACCGAGTTGCCCGCGTGCATATCAACATGGATATGTTGGGAGAGGGGCAGAAGCGAAGGATTCAACATGTCGCCGAACGGTCAAGAAAAGAAATAGAACAAGATAACCCTTACGAGAGTGCTTCCATTCGAGCAAACCCTATGCAGACTCCAAGGAAACTTTGACTCACACCATCCAGCAAGCAGTTTGTTTCCGTCGCTGGCGACGCTCATGTCATACATGTTGCAGATTACGAGATATTCCCCGAGGGCCTACAAAGATTGCCATGGCCGTGGGGTAGGCTGCTGGGGCCGCCCTGCAAGATCCCCATGACCCCGTTGACCAGTGGGATCAAAGCCGCAGCAAGTGAGCTAGACCCAGTCAGATGGCTCGACTCGACAGATCCAATGGCCAATGACGCGTCTAGACATTTCCATCTAAAGTGGCACTTGCAGCTAATTCACATCCACCCCACTGTGATCTGGCCACTCAGCTCTGCCTGTGCGGTACCCGTAGGCTCCGGGAGGAGAGCAAGTAGTTCGCCGTGGAGAAGTACCTGTCTGGATCAGCAGCACCGCGAGTCACTAGCGGTATCTTCCAGCGATGGGTACTTGGGGAGGGGCTTTAAATGGGATTTCAGATGGTGAAAACATCCCATCCCGTTTGATCCAATCCCATCCACCATCCTAGCACGCCGTTAGTTGGGGTTCCAAGCCGGCGGGAGAGTGGCGGCGACACACACCTGAGCATTCCAGGTTCCAACGAGCACTCGGGCGAGAACGGAGTGTTGTGTTGGGGGATGTGAAGGGGGATGCAGGCAGTACATGTAGATGGATACTTGCTCACCAGAAGGTGGCATCTGCCGTGCCACACGCATTCGTTTGATGCAGGGGCACTGGAGCAATGCCTCGCCTGCTGCTGCCCAAGCCAAGACGCGGATACCGATCGATCCGTTGACTCGAGAGCATCTCTCTGATGGGAGACTGGAGAGGCGGTGGAGGCCGGGGTACGTACGTATTGCTTTTCCTTCCCCGTGCCTGCATCCGGAACGTGCTTGGTTAGCCTCTGCCGCATGCCTCAGAAATGTCTGATCAAAAGCATCAAGACAAGCAGCTTCTGGAGGTGCCGTGCAGGCAGCCCCTTGCCATTACAGTTTCCGACCAGGAGGCACTGCCACGACGGCTCCCTGCTCCCAGGCCCTAGCACAGGTCCCTCCCCAGCTACTGAAGCTAGCAGCAAATCATTGCCCCGGCCAGCTGATAAGGACACGCCATCGGCCCAGCTAAGCTTTTCCAACGTCGTGCCCGATCATCAAACATAAACGTCTCGCGGGCTGCTGTGTAACCCGGCCTGTACCAGCGCCCCTGGCCACACGAAGCCGCATGCTTTTTTACCTATCAATTGTCATGTCAATCACCGTGTATGCTAGGCCCGAAAGATAAATAGAACAACCACGTCGTCATGGCCTCGAGGGTGGATCGTGGAGATAACTCCCCGCCCGCCGAGCTGTCACATTGTAGACGCTACATGTAGCGTAGTAGTCGCAATGGCGTTTGGCACGCACTCTGTCTTCCCCGGCTTACCAGAGACAAACAAATAATTAACCAAAGAGCAAACCAGGGCTTACCTGGCGCTTCGTCGAGATTGGAAGCAAGGGCACTGGCTCATATTGTCACCATGACATGCCATGAGACATAGGGCGTATCCTCGAAACTGGACCGTTGCCAAAGGCCAGACCGGACAAGGCGCAACCGCTGATTCTTGCGAAAACTCAACCCACTCGGCCCTGGCCGGTGACCAGCGACCGCGGAATGAATGTCATCCTTGACTGAGAGGACAGAGCGGATTTGGCGTTGCGTGCATCGGCACCAAACCTATCAGTACTAGGGCCGCATAAAACCTCGCCTCGGCCACATCCACCGTCCTACGAATCCCCAGCTGCTGTTGGCTTGTCAAAGTTGTCAGCATGTGGTGCCAAGGGATGGAACGATCTTCTCGCGTCTTGGCCCGCTGCCCGTCCCCCTGCAAGCCGCGCGCTGAACCTCAGGCGTGTCGAGTCACATCTTGGGAAGCCCGGGCTTCGCTACGTGTGTGCATGGCCCGCTTCGAGCAGCTGGCAGGCAACCCTGTTTCCTCTTCGGAAAAGGGTCAAGGCAGGCAGATGATAATAGCAACTGGTAAGGCCACGGATGACATGCAACGATTTCGCTTATTGGCCCACCACGCCCCCCCCCAAGCAGGTTATCCTTGATCGATCAATGTCTAATGCCTGACCGAGTGTAAGAAGCAATACCTGCTACCCACCATCCGAACCGTCTTCCTAGCTTCCCCGGCTCTGCACGACGATGGATTCGGCTCGCTCAGTGTCGGCATATACGTAAAATAAAACGGCGATCGGGGTCGGCGACTTGAGCCTCGCCTTGACCGGGTGAGCCGACAGAAACAACAAAGCCCGAATGCAGCCAATTTTTCGCAGCCGTTTCCCCTCTCATCCTTGCTCTGGAGACTGAGATTTGCGCCGGTGAGAGGAGGGGGCCAATCTTCTTTCCGCTTTTTTACTTTCCCTTTATTTTCTTTTTTTCGCAGCCCACGCTGGTGCAGATAAGCTGCATGGCTACGTAGGTAGTGCGTTAGACGCTGAGACATCGCCGCCGATGCGGGATAGGACCAAGCGGCGTGAGTGGTCAGCAAGAGGGAAGGAAAAAGAACGTACTATGGAAAGAGAGAAGAAGGCAAAAGCAAAGAAACGTGCAACACTGAACAGCAGCCTCACTCTTCCCCCCACGCCCCTGTCTTGCCGCAACCTCCCTTGGTAATCAAATGGAAACCGACGAATTCCTGAAACTAGCATTCTCAGCTCGAAGAAAAAAAGCAACCGCAGTGGGACGGTTCACTTTTTGGCCCCTTTCGTCCTCGGATGATTGATAGGGCTAGATAGTCGACGGGCTATTAGCACTATGGATACTCCTAACGTGGGCTTACTCCTAAGCGACCGACGACTATTAACGACCAGCTCAGCCTACCCAGTCCCCAGTGCCTATCAGGTTCCAGAGCGCCGGTTGCAGGACCCAGATCTTGCGTCGGCCTCGGCAGGGGTCCCCCTTGATGGTCCCCATGATACCCGTAGCTAAGGCCCCTCCGCAAAAATGCTTACTCTCGCCGCCTATATCAGCCTCCCAGCAGCGGACGTGTGTACATGCCGAAGTTCAGATCTGCACCAGATACCTAATACCGGCCCTCGAAACACACAATGCATGATGTACGGTCGATTATCAGCCAGTCCCCACCCGTGGACGTGACTAAGCCCTACGATGCGGACAACCTCAAGGGCAAGGTCATCCTCATCACCGGCGGCGCCAACGGCCTCGGGGCGCACATGGTCCGGAAGTGGGCGTCGCACGGCGCTCACATCTTCATCGGCGACATTGACGACGCCGCCGGCGAGGCCTTCGTCGCCCAGCTCCGCGCCGAGCACGAGGGCCAGACGTTCCACTACCTCAGGTGCAACGTCATCGAGTGGGAGGACCAGGTCGGCCTCTTCGACGCCGCCGTCAGGCTCAGCCCCACCAAGGCCATAGACATCGTCGTCCCCAACGCCGGCGTCCTCATCGCCGCCGACACCTGGGCCTTCGAGCACCCGTCGCTCGACGAGTCCGGGGCCCTCTCCCCCCCAAACACCCGCATCCTCGACATCAACATCACCGGCGTCGTCTACACCACCCACCTGGCCCTCTACCACCTCCCCAGGAACGCCGGTCCGGGCCGCGACCGCGCCATCCTCTTCATCGGCTCCGTCGCCTCCTTCATGCCCCTCCCCGGCCAGGCCTTCTACGCCATGTCCAAGCACGCCGTCATGGGCCTCTTCCGCTCCCTCCGCGCCACCGCCTTCCCCCGCGGCGTCCGCGTCAACATGCTGGCCCCCTACTACGTCGCCCAGACCAACATGCTCGGCCCCGCGCTCGAGGCCGTCCTCATGAGCGGCACCGCCGGCGCCGCAAAGGTAGAGGACGTCATCGACGCCGCCACCCGCCTCGTCGCAGACACCTCCGTCAGCGGCAGGTCCCTCGCCGTCGGGCCCAGGCTCAAGACAAGCCCCGAGGGGCTCCCCCCCATCGAGGAGCACGAGGGCGGCGGGGAGGGCCGGGCCGTCTGGGAGTGCTACACGTACGACTACGACCAGGTGGAGTCGTTCAGGTGGCGGTACATCCACATCCTCAACGCGGTCGAGGCCTCGAGGGGCTACCTCGCCTGGCTCAAGGATATCATCGGCATCTTCTGGAGAAAGTAAAACTGTAATTTCACTCAAGGCGTGTAAAAAAAGAACTGGGTCCCACCTCGTATCACACACAAGATTTAAAGGTCAAGGCAGCATTGGAAAAAAGAAAGTGCCAAGGTTACTGCAAGTTAACAAAAAGGTTGTTTTGGCGTCTTGGATGGCAATACGCGGTTCTCAGACCACTCGTGGGGTGTGGGCTGTGCGTGAAACTCAAACTAGAAACCCCCACGGACACGAGGATTTAGAATGAGATAGAATTTTGCAGATCAAAACATTTATGGTTTCAATGAGTCACGGCATCTTCTTCCAGTTGAACACCTATCTCAAAACAGTTCTTCGATTGTGTTCCACATCGCGTCGATCTGAGAACTCCCCCTTTTACCTCGTACATGTATGTGTAAGATTGGGAGAAGAGGAAAGGGGGGAAAGCTAAATTCTTGGGACTACCTCGTATCCAGGGCTCTTAGGCTAGAATCAAAATAAAGAAAAATAAATTGGGGTGGGAGTTCACACGCCTCAAACGCCATTTTGTTGTGTTGCATCAGACACCACGCGTCTCCCAATCTGCCCGCTGTTTTATCTGCAAGTATGCAAAAACCTTATCGTTATAGGGGGTAGCAACCGTGAAGAACAATAATAATATGTTGAAGGGAAAGGGAAGAGGGTACAAGCAAAAAAGCGAGACAAAAATGCCAAACAATATCATATCGTGCGGGCCGTGAGGTCCTTTGCTATAATCGAGCTAAGCGCTGGCTGCTTGAAGAATCCAAATTCGAACTTCTTCCTCTGCTGTATTCTGGGTATGGCAAATCATACATTTCCTCCATGTATTGAAGATGTGTTATTTTTTTTTCTTTTTCCTTGCTTCCTTTTTTTCTTTTGGGTTTCATACTGCAGTTACGTTGCTTCAGAGAATGGAACATCGCTGGTGGGTGTGGTCTCTGAAACGCCTTCTACGGCGGCGTCTTGATGAACCTCCTCTGTTGTCGTAACTGTCATCATGATGATGATCATCTGTAATTCCAGCATCGTCATCCTTGCGGAGCATCTGGCGGCAGAGGTCAATGAAAACCTCCTCCACGTTGGCTTTCCAGTAGATATACGTCAGCAATGCTCACATGTGGCCGGCATAAACAATAACATAAACATACTCTTTGTTCGCGCACTGGCCTCGTAATAAGGGGCTTCCCAGCGCTGTGAGATGGAAAAGCCTTTGGCACGTGGCACGGCGCGAGACTCCTCCAAGTCAGCCTTGTTTCCGACAATGACGATTGGCACGTTGGCGTCATCCTTGATACGAATAATCTCGTCTCGTAGAGAGCACATTTCATCGAGAGAGGAAGCGGAGGTGATGCTAAAAACAAGCAAAAATCCCTGCCCTGTCTTCATGTACAAGTCTCTCATCGCGACTGACCCTTGGGAGTTAGCCAAGCTGCCACTGATTGGAGGGCTGCCATTGCAAAAGATCTTTTGACTTACCAAACTGCTCCGTGCCGGCGGTATCGAGGCTGACGTGTTAAGGTTAGCCAATGATCGGGGGTGGAGCATGTCTCAAAGAGAATCTCCGGTCATTCAACTCACATCTCAAGCACCACCTGACGGCCCTGCATATCTGAGTCAGCATATTGAATCTTCAACGTGACGAGCTGAATTTTGCACATACATCAACTTGGATCTGTGTCCGGTACGAATCCTCGATAGTCGGGTCATAACTTTCGATCCACTCATTGTGGACAAATTGTGCTGCATATGGATGATGAGCATACTGCTGAGGAGGCCCAGGAATGACATTCAACCAGAAGAGGTTGAAAGTGAGTGCTTACCAGTCAAACAACTTTTGCCAACGCCACCTAGACAGGGAACATGAAAAAGTCAGTCTTGGTATTGCCATGAATGTTTGTTGTGGTGGAAGTAATTTCCAGCATACCTGCTCCAAGCACCACGACGTGAAATTCGCGACTAAAGGAGATGATGGTTAGTCAGACCCAACACAGCCGGCAGAACGGACATGAACAAACCTGGGCTGAAACCGATAATTCCGCTGATTTGACATCATTGCTTATAATAAGATTATTTTTTGGAAGGAGGTGCAGCTTGCAAAAAAAAACACAGTCGGCCGCGACGGCGAGGCCTACGATATATGGCTGACTGGCCGGTGCTTGTTTTTTTTTTCCTCTCCCCTTTCTCAGTTATGTCTGACAATAAGATTAATACTCTAAGAGGGGAAAAAAGTCAAGATTGGCGGCGCATGCAACGCCAGGAATGAACTGAAACTGCTGACACAGGCGTGCGTGAGGCTGAGGAGCCGCAATGCTGTGGTTGGCGGCGAGAAAGGGGATGCTGGAGGTCTAGATGATGTCCCAGTCCAAGGACAAGCAAGGCGAGAGCGGTGCAGATGGATTTGGCGGCTGCGTCATGGGGGTGAGAAGCTTCCCCAGCGGTCGGTCGCGGGTGCTGGTGGTGGTACTACTTAATACCTAAGGCCCCGTAGGCGCGTGCATGGAAGGATTACAGGGGGCCGGGCAGTGGAGCAATTAGCCCTGGAGGTGAGGTGAGGTGAAGTGGTGCGGCTGCTGGTAGCTCTGGGCTGGACCAGGTCCAAGGAGGAGTAGTGGTGCAATGCTAGCGGTCGCTGAATTCACCAATTGCAGAAACCGACTCGGGTGGTGGGTACGCGACGGGTTCGTGCTTGACACTCGGGCCACGCCTATTCCTTGCCGCAGTCCTCAAGGTCCTGGATAGTGTGCACGGGCAGAGCAAGAATTGTACATGGAGTATGGAGCAATTGGCGCTGGCACGGGTGGTGAGTGCTGGCGTCGGGCAGTGCTCCTCGTGGGAAGACGGGAAAATGCAAAGGGATGAGGCCGCGTCAGGTCCAGGAGAGTGTTGTTGGCTGGGCGGTTGGTGGCAGGCGGAATTGGTTGATAGAGTGATCGAAGGGTGTGATGCGATGGCGGGATGATTGGCTGGCGCCGGCTGGATGCAGACGGAAGAAGATATGTATGTATATGTGCAGCACAGACCTCTTCTGCTCCCTGGCTCGTTTGGCAACGTGAGGTGAGGGTCTGCCTACCTAAGCTAAAGAGGATCCCATCGAGCTTTTAATAATGGTTTCCAGATCCTCAAGGAGAAAGAGGGTCTGGCGCGGGGCTCTGAAGCCCCCTTTTGGGGTGAGCAGGTGGCGGCCTCAAGCCAAGTCCAGCACGGCATGAATACAGGTACATAGTCAACGGCAGGCGGTTCCAGTTGGACCACTCACTCGCTCGCGGTGGGGATCGCAGCAGCGCAAGTTCAGACGCAAGAGGTTGTCTTGTGGGGGGATCAATGCAGAAGCCAACTCGGTGCCTCCGGCGTATATGTACTATGTAGGGAGTCAGACGCAGGTAGGTAGCAAATGAGCAGGTCGGTGGTCTGCCTTGGTACCTCACCTCACCATGCGATGTGGATGATAGTAACCAGAGGGATGGATGGATGGGAAAAATTGATGCTGGGCCACCACCCGGTCGGGCTCGAGGTCTGCAGCCAAGGTAGGGTCAAGGCTTTCCTTCTGTGGGGAAACAGCTACCACGTCGACAGGGGGCCGTGCAGGGGGGCAGGGGCTCGGTTTAGGGGCTAGACAGCTGTGGCATGAAGGATGATCTGTCACCTCGGCGGGCTTCACTCACGTCGCGAAGTTGCTTTAGTTGCGACCTGCCATGCCTTATTAGTCCGACGTACGTTGCTAGCTGGCCTGGCGTGTGTCGCCTGCCTAGGCGAGGGAGGAAAGGGCAAAGAGCAAAGAGGCCCTCGCAAGAAGTGAAGAAATAGGATTGCGCCAGGTCCTGATCCCGGCCAGGCCAGGCCACAATACGACGGCACACATCCAGGCGAGCTAAGGCAAGGCCCAGCGTAGCTTTGAAGCCGCAGACAGACACCATCTCAAGTACTGACCAGGGTGCGAATGCGATGTGATGATGCTAGGCATGCAACTGTACGGGCCATGTCGTAACCACATTCACATACTCGGACGTACGTTGGCGTCGGCATTCTAACAAGACCGGGACTCTAGTTTTGTGGTTCAAATTAATATGGATAAAACGGACTGTTGCCGTAGAGGAGGGTGCCGGGTTACCTCCAGACCGAGTCAACAGGTGCAATTGTTTGCCCTGCCATCCAAGTATGGATGTGTTCCGGCCCAAAGCACCCTGCCCATGTTCATAAGAGAGGAGGTGTATATTTGCTGCCCGGGTGCTCCATCACGTCGTCAATCTCGTCCTCATTTCGGGCCTAAAAATTCCGTTACTCCTCCCCGGGACGTTGATCCAGCACAATATGGCAGCTCCACGATCATTGCCGTGGATTCTGCGATGCGGCACTTAAACTCACCGATTCTTGAATCTATCAAGCGGCTGCATGTCCGGCCCACCCTCCATCTTCTTAGGGCTGACGGGCACTCCGAAATCCGAAGCCAATTGCCAGTATTGGCAATGGCGGTAGGATGAATCTGGTGATTCAATTGAGGCCTGATAGCCTACCAGCCTCTACCTGGCTAAACGAAGATATCTCGCAAGCGGCTTGTTTTTTTTCTGATTCCTTCATCAGACAATCAATGAAACCGGGTTTTCCGCGCCCGAGTTTTTGTAACGCGTCCCTGGCCCCCCCTGGCCTCCCAACAGGAGGAGAAGAAGAAAAAAACCCTCCCGGGGCCAGGGAGGAACGGTTGAGAAATAAACAAACAGGGTCATACTGGCCGCAACAGCATCTCCAGAGCTCCAGTTGCCCCAACATATCGACCTGCCCAGACTCCGAGAGTGAGTGCGGTAGACAATGGATGGGTGCCTGCTGCAGCACCGGACGTCGATCATCCGCCAGGCACCATCATCGACCCAGAGCATGAAACAGCCTTGGCTCCTGGAGAGCTCCAGATCGAGATGGATGGTCTGGCTGACTCGCCGACTCATGCTTCGTTTCGCGCTTGGGGGAGGGGGACCCAACGCCCACAGCTTCCATGCATCCTGATGCCATGGTCTGGTCCCCGTGGAACGGCTGACCCCAGTCCAAGTCCACGTTGCCTTACAGGCCACAGCATCAGAGCTCTCCAAGGTGGTCGGACCGTGATTCCATGGATGCTATGCTGACCAGGGGGGACACACCGCGCACACCGTGCCCTCTGCGTGCAGGCCACGAGTAACTTATCACCAAATCCTGCCATCGATTTTTTCCCGGCGCGCTGTAATAAGCATCTAAATTGGAAATCGGCCAGGGAGGATTGGCCTTGCCCCATGAGTCGCAACTCTTTCCCTTTCGCGTGCAAGATTCTCACCTCCTACGCTGAATCCTGAAACCTCCCTGACGCGCCAGCCATTGGTTGCCCAGGCAAAACGTACTGATGGACGACATATCTGATATACAACCCGATCAGGTAAAAAACAAGTGTCTTACGTCATGGCACGTGGCATGTTCGTGCTCATCCATGATCCGTCCCATCTCAAACATGCTGCATGGATAGGGACCAACCTCAGCGCTGGGTCAGAAACCAGTTGGCGAGATGTGTTTCGTTCTCGGGGCCAACAACCGTGAATCTCGTTTCCGTCGCAGAGATATTATGCTCTGGTTGCACATCCTGTCAGCCTCGTTGCTTCATTTCCACCTCTGCGATCCTCCCCTCTGCTCTCTCTGCAACCCAATAAGCGCTTTATGATGGTGGCGAAACGACCGTGCATGCATGCATGCAGTCAGACGACAGCAAATATGCGCATGCATCTCTTTCACAAATCAACTTCCCATCGAGGAGGGATATCCCCGGTACCCATGCACATTATTACTGTCTATCGCCGACCCTTTCGGGTAACAAGAATTAAGCGCTCATGTAAATGGATCCATCGCCCTATCGTACCAATAGCTTAGTACTTGAGGATGCCGATATCTGTTGTGATGAATGACATGGAATAGTGCCACATCACGGGGCAGCTCATCCTAAACGTTGTCTTATCACCTATACGTTGTGAGAGATCAAAAAGAAACGAATTCTTCGCTGGCTGACGCTATACACATGTAGCAATGGTACATAGTAATAAACTAACGACGGCACCCTTCAATGGTGCTCAGCTCATAACTTCTCAGAATGCCAATAGAAGGAGTCCAAGTAGCCCCAGAACAACTGCAAAACCCCAGACTGAATTCCCGGGTGGTCCAACCCAGGCCATTGTAGAGGGTACCGTATCAACCTTTATGGTTTGACAACCGACATAATGAGTACGAGTGATCCAACAATCAATATACAACCTCCAATGACACCTATAGCCGTCCAGTCTGCCTTTGTTCTCCTTCGCTTGCGACGTGCACCAACCCCTTCACCCGGCGGCACAATATCGTTCTGAGGAGCACCTTCAAAGGGATAAAGAGGTGGCTCATTCTGTTGTTGCAACAGCTGCCCCGGCTGGATTGCCCCATCTTGTGGTGGAACGGGGTTCAGCGGCATCATTTCGAGACCTGGTTCTGGGTCTCTAATCGATTCAAGGTATGACGGCGGCGGGGGCCGCTGAGGTGACAGTAGACGGCGATTACTTCGGATTTGGACGCCCCCGTCAAATAAAAGGCCTACGTTACCCGGGGATCTGCGCCCCCGAATAAATGAATGCAGTGACAACGGAAATTGATTGGGTGTTGCAGCTTGGGCTGGCATTTCAATTCCGGCCCCATCCTCCTCTGGCATATCATCAGGGTGTGCCTCATCTGGCAGTGGCAGATCATCAGGGTTTGGCGCAGGTCGCGGCATGTCCTCAGGGTATGCCTCGTTCGGGATGTCTCGCGACGGATGACCCAGCTCGTCAATGTCCTCCATTGTTTGATAATGGTCGCGTTTGTCGCTTGAATTTTAGATAACTAGGGCCAATATAGTCGTTGCTGCACCTAGTTTCGTCCGACTGTCTCCAGTCCAGCTCGAGGAGCAAGCCAGGGTAAACAACTTCAATGCCGTATGCTTTAGTATTGCACTCGCATCAGTCTAGTATTGCCCGGGTTTCGAGAAAATGGGACCAGCGAGGCTATCCCTGTTTCTCAGAAGAAAACGAA